TTTCAGCAGAAAATTGTTGAACATGATGAACTCTTCAGCAAACAGGGAAATGAGAGTTATGAATATGTTTGAGAAAAGATGGCGTCGTCTGGACGGTTTTGCCTGTTTGCAGGTGGTTCGTTGCTCCAGATGTTCGGCTGCTGGTGTTTGTTCCTCTGCTGAATGGAGATAATTATTCTGCTCCTGTTTTTTTAAATCGTTTCTGATCAGAGTGCTTGAAGCTGTTTCATTGGCTGTTGGTAATAAAGTGGATTTTAAAGATGGCGATGAGCTCATGTCGTTAACGCCGCTCCCCTCCTGCTGGTACCGGTTGGACCCGACTTCTCCAGAACCGCCTCAGAAGAAGCAGAAACTTTCCTGAAAGTTTTGGATCCCAGCTTCTATCACAGCTGCAGCAGGTTGGGCCGCTGTTCTACAGCTAGGGGGCGCTGAAGGTCAAAGGGAAACATTTCTTCTTCTTTGGAAAGTTTAATGGCGGTGGGTAAACAGTTGAAAGTGCATTACTAAACAATATATTTACCTACTTTATTTACAAATATAATAACCCAATATCCTCTATCTTTATCTAGTATATTTTCTGTTTTTTATTATTAACAATATTTTAAAGTTTTATACTTAATATTAATTAAACTAAATCCTCCTTCTGTCCTTTTAATTTATCAATTTTATTACATTTTCTATCCTATTCATGTATTCATTAAATTCATTATTAACACCAGAATTAAAGAGCAGATGCTTCCCTCCATCTCAAACCTTCTAACTATATTTTCCTCAACTAACATCTTTAAGTCCCAGAAACTTTTCATCTCTCATTGATCCTGATTTTCTCTGCTTTCTGCTTTGCTCGGTCTGAGCAGCGAATGACACACAGTCATAAAAAAGTTAAGGCCCCCCCATTAATCCTAATTGTTTTTATTTCTAAATATTTGGGTGTTTGCAGCAGCTATTTCAGTTTGATATATCTAATAACTGATCGACACAGTAATATTTCAGTATTGAATTGAGGTTTATTGGACTAACACAAAATGATGGAGATGGAGGGAAGCATCCGGTCTTTATTTCTGGTTTTAATATTAACCTCTCAAAACCTACCATTTTAAAACGTTTACAATGAAATTTACACCGGTAACAAGCCACAACAAGCAAGCAGAAATACTTATTTTCGAGAATAAAAAACAAAACTTTGAGTCATGTTTGAACTGATGGGTGTTTTACCAATTTTCATGTATGTATTCAGAAACTAGAAGGTGTTAGCTTTCAAATAATGTATCACTCATGTAATTTGGGCTTACAGTTCCTCAGTTATTTGCTCTTCGATTTAGGTAAGCTAAATAGGCGAATTTCCCACAAATGAGGAGGGTGTTTAGATTAATAGGGGTTCCCAAACTTTTTCACAAAGTTAATGTGTGTGCATATGAAACATTGAGGAAAGGAGATGCTTCAATCTATCTCGTGATTCAATCAGTGGAGCATTTTGTCTTATGACCTGATCAATTGTCCTGTCAGAAGAATACCGTTTTGTAACCCACCCCATGTGTTATGGTCTGTTAATAAAAGGCACTGCAGGAAAGGACGGTCCGAGAGAGAGTTGGAAAGTTGGGTTTAGCCTTTTCTCCTTCTGCAGGAGCTGTTGAAAATCCCTTTCTGTGTGGACTCAGTCCCTCTTTTACGAACCTACATTTTTGAACCTAACAGTATGCTATGAACAAAATGTGCTTCTCTGCTGTTGGAATGAAATTATCTGCTCTTTCTTCCTTCACTTTTGTACCTGATTCTGATCTTTCTTCATTTCTCATTCCTTTGTCCTTAAACTCTCCTCACTGCTTCTGCATAGCTTCTATTGTTTGTTGTTGATTGATTGACTTTATTGATCTCGCAGTGGAGAAATGTATCGGCTCCATCAGCTCAAATAGTCAACAAGAAGAATGATGTGGCAAAGAAATAAAGGGTGCATGGGATATATACAGTTTTTTTAGTAGGATTATTATTGTAAGGGGTGTTTATATTGATACTTATATGTAGGGGGGTCCCTTTCACTAACACTTTTCCCTTTAATGACCCCCCCTTTCAGAGGCATAGACAGGTATGGGGCATTGCAGGCTAACAAAGAAAGGGGGGGACCCGTTCATCCGTTTCTATTTGCATGTTTTCTAAACTAAAACCAGGCTTTGTTGGGCTGCTGGATAAAACCTGGAACTAAACGCTATTTCTGACATTTTGAACTGAAAAAGCTTCATGGATAGAAGAGAAACTTCCATCTTCAAACTTGGAAACAAAGTCCAGCGGATTGTTTTTTTTTTTACTTTTTTGGAATCACTATGACCTGGATTACTGAGAATCTTCACCAGCAGATTTTTAGGGATGACAAAACAAGGCTTGTCCTCCACTGAAGATGTTCTGTGAGGAAAGAAAATTAATTTGATGCTCTGTTAGCGTTTGACCTTCCAAAGATGGAGGACCTCAAAATGCTTCACTTGCTCTCCCTCACACGCCGATGGTGGTTCTCTACACTGCATCCACATCTGACACGGTTACAGCAGGGCATTGAACCAGCAACTCAGGACTGAGCCTGAAGACATCCTGCTCTCTCACTGATCGTCATATCTGCGCTGACAGATTTGGTGTTTTTAGTGAAATAAAGGAGTAAAAAGCCCTTTTTAAATGTCTGTTAGGAAGTTATTTCGATCTTTGTTCATTTAAATATTAGAGATGCAGTTTTCTAAACATCACCCATTCCTTTGTTATACAGAAACATAATTTATCTGCGTAATGCAGTCGTTTGTAGCACTCTTCCCTTGCAGCAAGAAGGTTTCAGGTTCAATTCCCAGCCCGAGGTCTTTCTACATGATCTCCCTGTGCAGTGTGGGTTCTCTCCAGGTACTCCAATGTTCTGTCAGATCAGCACACCTTTAGTCAATATGCATGTAAAAGGTGTCGGATTTGCTTTTATCCTTTTAGTTTTGTACGAAAATTTACTTTAAACTACCTCAAGGGGCGCGTACCCCTTAAGTCATGAACAAAAAACAACTTAAGGTCAGATCGCCTTACGCTAAAAAAAAAAAAACCCAAACAGTAATTAAACTATGTTTGTATATGACTAAAGGGATGCACGCCCATTGAGGTAGTTTAAAGTTTATTTTTTTTACAAAACTAAATGGATGAACGGGTATGGGCTCTGGGTATTCTGGTTTCACAGAACACCGGCTTCCTCCCACAGTGCAGAAACATGATCGTGAGTTGATTGGCTTCTCTAAATCTCTAAATGCATCTCTTAAATGATGCAGGCACTACTGTAACACTGACAGATGGATGAATTTTAAAGCAAAATAAAATAGGGAATTAAAAATAAGGGCAACAGTTAGCATTCTCTTGATCAGACTGTTAACCACAAACTGTCTTCAGTCAGAGGCTGTTCAAAGCTGCTGGATGACAGACCACTACAGGAGAGCTTTCCTATTAACATCCCTGCAAAGCTTCACAGCATTTTATTTCCCTTCAGATCAATAAATGATAGTTGAACTGAAAGGAGAAGCAGCTCCAGCAAATAAAACATGTTTATATACAAGGACAGGACCATGGAGAGCTCCCTTTGTTCCCTAATTTAAAATAATTTACATCATTTCTCACTCACACACATGAACACACCAGGATGTTTTCACCAACATGTTTTTAATGGTGGAGAGAAAACAAAAGAAAAAAAAGAAACAGAATCGACATTTATTCTGGAAAGAAAACCAGTGCATTAAAGTTTGGTCACATATTTCTAAAGGTTTGGATCCAGTTCAGCAGCTTGTTGATCCAGATAAAAACCAGCTGTGTTCCTGGACCCTCAGACCATGCGACACGTTCACGGCGCGGCGGCGGCCGGCTCCACGCGGCACGCTTTTACTCAAAGGTAGCAGGAAAAACTCGGCTGAGTTACAAATCCAGCATTTTTCTCCACTTTCATCTCAGGAAAACTATCCAAAAGCAAAATAAGCCACGGTGAATAGAAAATGCACAAACTGCATGTAAGACGCTAAAAATACATCTTTTAACCTTAAATTCAAAAGCTCCAAAAAAAATGAAAGTATTTCACAGATAAAAGTATATAAAAATTAAATCTACAACTGCATATAAAAAACAAAAGATTTCAATAAGTTATAAGTACATTTTCTCTTTAATATGGTAACCTAGGTGTCATCTTACTCTTCCAAGGATTGCCTATCAGTAATATCCCAAACCTCCACAGGCGTGGAAGGTTCCAGCTCCCCACAGAAACATCCGAGTGGGACGAGCGTCACAGTGCGCCTTTTCCACAGCAGCAGCCAGAAACCAGCGCAGCGTCACAGTAACAGAGGCAGAGCAGCGAGCGCAAATTCAAGTGTTTCAACGGAGCGATAAGGAATGAATGACGCCTTAGAGACCAGATCCACGCCGAAAGATTCATCCGGTCATAGATTCACCTTAGCATCCAAAGATGGACCCCCCATGTAGGGAACGCTTGAATGTATAAACGCACAAATAAATGAATGGATGCATGAATGAATAAATTAACGCATCAGTGAGCGAATGATTAAATAAAGGAAAAATGATTGATTTAATGAATATATTTGCAAACTGCAGCTTTAAGGCACCTTGGAACCCTGATGTATCTGAGGTGGCGGTTCGCCCCCATGCTGACGGTCCCTCTGTCTCCCCCTGCTGGCCTCAGGTGGAACAGCAGGGTTATCTTCAGCACTGACGGCTGACTCTCCTTTCTGCTCCAACAGGTGAAAATGACAGAGCGCGTTTAACCACGGCCTGAAAACGGATTCAAAGAGCGACGGTCGGACGGGAGGCGGTCAAAGTGCTCAGAGGACGCTGCAGTCTGTGTCAGCGTTTAAGACAAACGGCTCAAAGTGTTGGGAGGCGGTCTCGGTGTAGTGTGATGGGAGGCGTCATGCATGGCGGCCTAAACAGAACTGCAAACATAACCAGGCTTAAAGTGGGGCGGTGCGTGGGAGGGGGGCGCCTGTGGGAAAAAAGGAGGGGGGAGGGAGGCGTCATTTGGGCACCAGGCCGCGGGGCTTTGGGTAGAGGGCGGATCCTGGACCGCGGGGGCTGATGGGAGAGGCCGGCGTGCTGGGCTTCTTCCTGGTTGTCGGCCGGCTGAAAGACAGAAAGCAGATAATAAACCTTCAGTCAGAAGCTGAGGCGATACGTGACGCTTCCTGTGAGCTGAAGGTTTTCCTCACCCAGACTTCGACTTCTTCAGGCTGCCGCTGGCAGGCGGGGCCGCACCCAGGCTGCTGCGGAAGCCTGACGCGTCTACCTGGACCTCATCCTCGTCTCTCAGGGCGTCCTCCAGGGCGGCTGCCACCTGTGGGGCAATAACTGGCTCCTGGTAGTCTTTAGTGGTCCTTGCGGGGAGGTCCAGGTCCACCATCAGGATGTTTTCAGCCTGAGGAACCAAACACACACCCCGGTCAGACTTCAGTCCCCGAGTTCTGTTTCTTTTCCAAACTTTCATCACTGAGGAACTTTAATCAGGGTCCAATCTTTGAAAAATTGTTAAATGATCCCTTCGTTTTGTTAGTTTCTGAAGCCGCTTTCCCACTGAAACCCGGGTTTTTCAAAACCGGGTCATTCGCTGACAATCAGCTTTCGGCTTTTTTCTCATTTGACTGAAAAGCTGGTCTAACTCCTCACTGCTTTACTGTTTCTCTCTATCATCTGTCTGGATCCCAGAGCTGCTCCACGTTTATCCAATGGAAACAGAGGCTGTTTCTCAGTTCACAACAACGCCAGTGCCGACTCGTGTTCTAGAGAAGAACCCAGGAAAGTCTGGACTCGGGGAGAACGGGGGCACGCAGAAGAAGTCTGGGTCAATTGGAACAGCAGCGTACTGATGACATCATCACATTCAAAGCTAGTCTGGAGCTGCTTTTCACCTTCTGTTATAAATAGTCTCTAGATAATAATAAATCATGATACTTTTCATTTTTTTGTGTTGACGTCCAAACGCTGCCTTCAATGGCATCACGTAATTTAGCTGGAGACCCGCCTTTCCCACAGCCTCCTGATCAGAACAGAGGGGGATTTTAACGCGGGTCGTTGCCGAGTCATTTGACTCGGGTCAGTGAGCCGTTCCCACTGCCACTAAAAACTGTTTTTCCCGGTTTAAACCATTTTTTTTGGGTGGGTGTAGCTAAGGTTCAAACTAATGGGCTCAAAAGTACAAGTTAAAATTAGCTGAGAACCTGAATCATCAGTTAAAACTCAAAACTAAGATCAACTACAGGATTTAAACTGAAACTAAACATTTCTAGGATGATTTTTTTAATGTTTAGATGATTAAATAAGAAAAAGATTAAGTTTTATACTAAAATAAACTGTTTATTTAGTGGCGATTCTCACGTCGTCCTGCAAACACAGACCTTCCCATCATTCCCAGTAAAGTTCAGTTTATTATCTAAAGCGGCTGCCTGCTTCCTCCTGGATGGAGGCGACAGTGGAGAGGAAAACTCTCCTTCAACAGGAGGAAGAGGAGACCCGCTGAAGAAGCTCAGAACGTAGCATCGTGTTTCAAAGACGTCAGAACTTCAGATGAAACCTGAAGAGAACCATGTTTATCAGTTCAAGAGGAAAGCGACTCACTTTGTATCTTGGGTCAGAGTTCATCCTCTGGCAGGTGAGGGCGAAGTGACTGAGAGGCCTCCTGTAGCTGACGGCGGACGGCGGCCGTGACATCATCTGATGGTCCCTGTGGCGGGATGACAGACAGCAGCAGGTTAAGCTTCCAGTCTAACGGGTGCAGCGGAAAGCAGAGGAACCAGAACAGACGCCAGGCAGAGGGAGGCGGCTTCACCTCCTGCTTCATGAAGAGGTGAAAGATTCCTGCCTGGAGTTTCTCTGAGCGGCTCTGGTGAGTGCGCCCCCCCTCCGATTGTTTTTAGACGTATTTTAATCTGGTTCCAGAGAAACGGATCAGAGCTTTTAACCTGCAAACGTTGCTTTAGCTCCAAACTTACTCATCGGTGCGGCTGATGGCCTTCATCTTCCAGCTCTCATCCTCCTCGTCGTAGAAAGCCCTGTGGAGGATTTTGTTCTTCTCCTCCAGTGGGATGAAGTTTTCAATGATCAGGTGTCTGAAAGATCAATGGTTCCAGTTTAAGCAGCTTCTCGTGTTAAAAGGATGGCAGCCATTTATCTGGCCTTCAATAACTAATAATAATAATGATGATGATGTTTTGCAGAATTAGGGAAATCTTTAAAATCTGAGCAGATTTGAAGGCCTGATGGGTGAAAGCAGAGCAGAGTGGCGGCCATACTTGAGTTTGAGCTCTCTGGTGAGCTCGTTCTGGGTCTGCTCGTGCTCCTGCCGCTCCTTGATGTGTCCTTCCTGGATGTCCTGGATTTCCGCCTTCACTGCCTGCAGCTTGGAAAACAGCTGAGGAACAAAAAACATCAGAAGAACAAAGTCAGTTTGACAAAAACGGGACTTTAAATCTTTCGGTGATGAAGACGAGTGAAGGATGAAGGCCACCGGCAGGTTTGATGCTTAGAGGGAAAACTGACTTTGATCATAAAACCGTTTTTTATTCCCAGAGCAACATTGATCTCTGACCTTCTTCAGCTTCTTGGTTTTGATGTCCACCTCCTGCTGCAGAGAGCTGTAGGTCTCCTTCAGCTCCAGCGTCTCCTCGTCTCGACTCTCCATCTGCTGCTGCATCTCCCTCTCCCTCCGTTTCTGGAAGCAATGATGTTAGAATTATTAGACTTAGATTTATTTGTCATTTTGTTCACACAAGTGCAAAACAGACAGAAATTTTTGATCTAATGTCACTCCTACACTTAGAAAAAATTAAGTACAGCATTAGGGGATGTGTCGACAAATTTTATAAAACTTGGAATCCCATTCTTTCCTTAGTTGACTCAACTTCCTCCCTAGATTATTAAAAAGTATGGCTTTAATCAAGATACATGGACATAACCCCTCTCTAATTCTCTAATTGAACCACTCCTGATTTTCCAGTGGTTTGAACTGTTTGATCACCAGCCAGGATTTTAAGAGAGGCCAGCGGTTGGGTTAGGGATTTGGTGGTCGAACCTTAAGCAAAACATGTAATAGACAATATAGTTATATTTTTGATTTGGTTTTCTAAGCATTTTAGATCCCTCCTCTAAATTGTTTTTGTTTATTAACATTTTTTCCCTTTTTTTTTTGTAATTTGCTTGTTGGTAACTGTTCTCCCCTCTTGTTTTCTCGTTATGAGGGAGAGAATCACGTTTGCTTATTGTTAACGTCTCTCACTGTATTCCTGGGAATGTAGGGGAGTGGGGGATAAGTGAAGTGTATTCTCATGTTAATGAATGTATTGTACCCTGCTAACCCAATAAAAAATATATATGGAAAATTTGTGGGGGAAAAAATAAACATGTTTTGTTCTGAAAAAAAAAACAAAAAAAACAAAAAGAAATTTCGTTTAGAAACAGCTCTCTGGACAATTTCATCTTTTTAAAAGTGCAGCCTTGAAAAATAGTTTAAAAAAATATATAAAATCAGTAATATAAACATGACTGTAAATTTAGAGTTCTAACATTTTCATTTATTTATTTTTATATAATAATAAAATATAATAAAATACTATATTTTACAAAACATTCAGCAGTCTAATGGCAGTGGAGAAGAAACAGTTGTGGAATCTGCTGGAACGCATCCGATGCTTCGAAGTCTCTTCCCAGCAGTGGGGTGGGGGGGTCATAATCATGCTAATAACGCTGTGATTAAAGGTCCACCTTCCTGCAGGTTCTGCTGCCTCCAGAAGCAGCTCCTGAGATCTCCAGTAGAAAACTGATTTCCATTTTAACTTTAGAACCGTTCCTCCTTTAACACGGATTAACAGAAATGACTAACTCTAATTTAATGCTTTTATTGCTCTTAGAAATAAATTTAATGCATCGAAAGTACCCAACACACACACACTCTCTTTTTTTTTTTTTTTTTTTACCGTCGACAGGCTGCAGCCACGTCCTGAATTCCTTGTTTTTCCGTTACTTGTTGGAATCCCCATTTTCCCATTCTCTAGATTTTTCTCCGCCTCAAGCTTCGCTTCTTTTCTGAACATCCGGCTTTACGATCAACCAGAAACAGTTTAGCGCAAATATAGCTGAGGACATTTTTTATTTATTTTTTTTTAAATAAAGCATTTTTATGTCACCATAATCACATTCAATTAATTTTAATTTTAATTTTTTTTAATAACCTGCAGAAACCCTGTTTAAAGGAATAGTACACCCTAAACATGATTAGCCTTCATTTTCTACTCACCCCCATGCTGAACAACACTCTGGAGTACTTTTTTGATATCTCAAATGCATCTGGAGATCTGGGAGGCTTCTTGCTGTCTGCTGACATTCAAATAATGGAGGTCTATGGCGCCCGAGGCAGAAAGGTCCATAAAAGTCCACAAAAAACGTGTCAATATTCCTCCATACTGCTCGTCCAATGTATTCCAAGTGTCCTGAGTGGGTAGCGTCCAGAATTTACTCGAAACGAAGTCATTTAGAATGTTTTTAGAGCATAAACAGTAGTTTACAGGATTTCCTGAAAGCGCGTTCACGAGTCTACGGAAACCGGCAGACCAAACCAGATGAAAGTGCGCATTCAGCGTCTGCTCTGCCAATAATGCAAGCGTAGAAGAAGAAATGTGCTGTTTACCTGTGCAAAGAAAGAAACAACGAAAGAAAAATGTCTAAGGACTTCAGTGTTGAGGAAGAGCGTGAGTTCTTTGCCGAGCTGAATGCGCTGGTTTGGTCTGCCGCGGTTTCCGTAGCGTCGTGAACGCGCTTTCAGGAAATCCTATACACTACTGTTTATGCTCTAAAAACATTCTAAATGACTTCGTTTCGAGTAAATTATGGACGCTACCCACTCAGGACACTTGGAATACATTGGACGAGCAGTATGGAGGAATATCGACACGTTTTTTGTGGACTTTTATGGACCTTTCTGCCTCGGGCGCCATAGACCTCCATTATTTGAATGTCAGCAGACAGCAAGAAGCCTCCCAGATCTCCAGATGCATTTGAGATATCAAAAAAGTACTCCAGAGTGTTGTTCAGCATGGGGGGGAGTAGAAAATGAAGGCTAATCATGTTTTGGGTGTACCATTCCTTTAAGGACTGGTCTGCTTTAGGTTACAGAGATGGACCCAGATGTGTCGCCTCCATCCCAGTCCTTAGATGGGATGCTAATAGTTAGCATTAGTTAGCATCAGGAGCATTTCCACCTTCTGCTCTAGTTCATGACTGAGGCTGAGTCCAAATGTCCCTCATCTCTATAGAGCAGTTACGCCGTTAGAAACGAGCTTCTGAACGTCTAATGGATGAGAAGTGATGGACTGGAGATTTCCCACAATGCACCTTGAAAAGTAGTGATCGTCCATGGTCACTAGACGAGCAGGTATATCCCAGAATGCTTTGCGAGGAGAGCTCTCTTTGCAAAGCACTGTTGGATTTGTTGTGACAGTGGCGGCAAAGAACCAAGATGGCGGAGTCACATGACCAACCAGAAGTTAAAAGTAGTGATCACCTGTTTGAACGGTCAGAGTTCACTATAAAGTTCACTATAAAGCGTAGGACTGAAACAATCCGATTAATCGACTATTGAAATAATCATCAACTAACGGATTAATGGTTAACTGGAGAATAGAGACTGAAAAACATGACAGACCCACTTAGAGCAGGAATTATACCAAGATTGTAAAATAAATAAAATAAAGACTTTTCATTAAAGATTTGTCAGAATGCTGGATAATCCAGAACTTCTCACCTGGAAATGTTTTAGTTTCAGTCGGTTTAATTTCCCTTTAAGGAACCTTTGGCTATCAGATTATTAATGGATTAATCTGAAAAATAATCGATAGATGAATCTAAATAATGGTTAGTCGCAGCCCTAGTATAGTGCTGGAGGGGTCAGAGGTCACGGAGGACGTTCGGTCGCAGTCAGACAGCAGAAGTTGGATTTCTGTCATTTTCAGGTCAGTTCTCCTGCTTCCTGTTTACCTGCTCTGCGATCTCCTGCCTCCTCAGCTCCAGCATCCTCTGCTGCTCGTTGGTGTGGTCCACGATGTTCTTTCCGCCTACGAGGAGCTTGCTCTCCATGGCCTGGACGTGATCGGAGGTAAGAGAAGAGGAAGCGGGTCAGAAGCAGAACGTCTGGGGAACAGGTGACGGAGCCGACTCTCATTTCAGGCTTACCTTGACTTTAGCTGCCAGCATCTCTCCCACTTCTCTCTCCCTCCTCAGATCCTCCATCTTCTTCTCCTTCTCCCTCAGCAGCCGCTCCTTCTCCTCAGCCACCAGGCTGTGGTCCTCCAAGATGGCCACCTTCTCCTGCTCCAGCTTCTCCTGCTGCTCTCTCCAGTAGTCTCCTCCCTCAGACTCGTCGTCCTCCGTCTCTCCGTCCTCCAGCTCGTCTCCGTCGCTCCCGTCCCTCTTTCTCCGCCTCCTCCTTTTCTTCTTGCCCATGCGTTTCTCCAGCTGCTTCTTCAGTTTGGCGATCTGCTCCTGTAACTCCCCGAGCAGGGCGTCCTTGGGGTCCTCGTTGATGCGCGGCTTGTTCTTGATGTTCTTGGCCCTGTTGGCGTAGCGCAGCGTGGTCAGGGTCTCCTCCATGTTGTAGGAGGCGGGGCCGATGTTGGCGACCATGACGGTGCGAGCGTTCCCGCCCAGCGAGTCCTGCAGCAGGCGGGTGAGCTTGGAGTCCCTGTAGGGGATGTGGCTGCACCTGCCGTCCACCAGAGCAGAGATGACGTTCCCCAGGGCCGAGAGCGACAGGTTGATCTTGGTGGCTTCCTTCAGCCTCTCGCCCTGAGCGCCCGTCTTGGTCTGCCGCTCGCTCCCCGCCAGGTCCACCAGGTTCAGCTTCCCCACCCGGATGTGGTTCTCTCCGTCCACGCCCAGCTCGCTGCACTCCACCGTGATGACGAAGATGGCGTGAGAGCGAGAGCTGTGCTCGTTCATGTTGGTGGATCCCACAGACCGGTTCTGGTTGCCCAGATTCATCACGCCCTCGATCTCCTGCGCGCTCTTGGTGACGTACGAGAACAGGTCCTTCACGTACACCCCCGTGTCGGGCCTCTCCCGCAGCTCCAGGCGGTGGGACTGGTCTTTGGAGAGCAGGTCCCGGATCTCCTCCTGGTAGATCTCCAGATACGACGCTCTCACCAGGTACTGCTGGTTCTGGGAGCGGGAAATGTGCGTGAAGATGTGCTCGAAGGAGTTGGGGATCACCCCTCTCTTCTCTGGGTCGTTTCTCACTCCCTCCATCGTGTAGGTCTTCCCCGTCCCCGTTTGGCCGTAAGCGAAGATGGTTCCGTTGAAGCCCAGCAGAACCGAGTCGACCAGCGGCCTGAAGGTCTCATCGTACAGGTCGATCTGTTTGGAGCTGCTGTCGTAAACCGAATCAAAGGTGAAGACTTTGGGGAGCGCTCCGGCCTCCCGCGGGTTCCGGACCATAATCTGGCCCAGTTTCACGTTGACTGAAACCACCGCTTCAAATTTTGAAGCCTTCTCCTTGTCGTTCATGGGGCGACAGCGGACCACCACCTTGACGGACTCGGAGCTCTTGGCCTTGGACATGTCGGGACGCCGTGTCCGGTTCTCCTGGCACCTCGGGTCTGACGAGCACAGCTTCAGAGATCCTTTACCTGGGAAGACGCCCCCAACTGGGGGCAGAAAGGAATTACACTCTACATTTTCACAACTTTTTCTTTGGACTTTTGATGCTTTTCTGCTTATTTTCAGTCAAACTGCTGTAGAAGATGTTTCCCCTCTCATCCAATAGGTGGTGAGGTAATCTTAGGCTGGAACCAACCAAGCCTTTTGGATGAGAGGACCAGCAGGTCCCAACAGATCCCAGTCTGGAAGTGTCTGGAATTAAATCCCTCCATCATGATGCTGTTCAGCCATAAAGCTGAACCCAGCCAGCAGGCAGGGCCTCTGGGATGGAGACCAGGCTTTCTGGAGCCTCCTGTGGAGGCGTCCATCCTCCGGTCTCACTGCCTATTATCGGCTCACCGGTTCATAGGTCAGACTTAAGTGGCTTAAAAGAAGCATTCCTTTAACATTCCAATACTGAAGTTGAGAGAAAAACAACTTTAAATTATATTTAAAATCACCTTAAGGAGAGCCAACCGCCGCAGAAAGCCGTCAGCTGCTGGGATCCAGAGCTCAGGAAGCGGCTAACAGGCGGAGGCAGACCGGTTCTAACTGGATGCGGCGCAGCCGATAGCAACCAACCGACCCGGGGCAGCGCTGGATGACAGCAGGCGGTGAACCAGCCTGCGCCCTCAAAGCGTCTTTTAACGGTTAAATTAAGCTCATAGCAGCCGGCTAATGTAGCGGCTCGGCTAACATTAGCTTAGCTCCCACACAGTCCGCAGAGACAGAGCCAAACACCGGCCTAGCAACGGCAAACACACCGAGGGGAACCGGATCCGGGCCCGCACCGCCCGGCTGCTGCTGGCCTCACAATCCGACAGGAAGTGGATCAAATCCGGGGTTTAGATTTACCGGTGGCCGCTGCTCTTCTTCTGCTATTGATTAGCGGTTGGTAACAAACTTAGTAGCATTACCGCCACCTACCGGTGAGGAATGTGGATCAGAATGACCCTAATTATAAACATATTTATTTATCTATATATCTATAATATTACTTTACAAATACTAAATCCTCCTAATTATTCCTGTTAATATTAAATATTTAAGTAAATATCGATAAAAAAATCTACTTTTTCTGCAGAATATCTATCAAATCCAATTTTACTTTCTCCTTATTTAGGTCTCTTACCAAATTCTTTATTTCTTCTTCATACTTCTTACAATAAATTACTACATGTTCTACTGTTTTGTCCACAAAGTTCACATTTGCCTGACATATGTGTCCCTATTTTGAATAATGCATTATTTAATGCTTTATGCCCAAATCTATGTCTTGAAATAACTGTTTCCTCTCCTCTGCTTCCTTCTGCTCTCCTCATTTTTTTCTCCTCCTATAAAACCATCTTCCTCTCCTTTTCTTCTTCCCATTATTTTTTCCACCTTTCCTTCATCCTTTGTTTAATGATACTTTTCATTTCTGTCTTACTTAAGTTAATCATCATATCAATGCTTTTATTTTGTTTTGCCTTAGCAATCTTCTCTGTATTTTAATTTCCTTTAATCCCTATATGTTCTGGCACCCAAATAAATATAACACTAATAGCATCATTTGAACTTGATATAAAACTTGCTGTATTTCAATTAAAATGTCTGATTTACTTTCCGAACGATGATTTTGTATATTAATTAAAGCGGAACTCGAATCTGAACATATAATTGATCTTAATGGTCTCACTTCCTCTATCCATTGTAATGCTAATAATACTGCTAATAGTTCTCCTGTATATACTGACTATTCATTATTTAATCTCCTACTTACTTTGATATTGAACTCTGGAACAGAGAATGCAATACTTAGCCTATTACTCCCACTTTTAGATGCATCTGTATATATTTGAATATAACCATAACAACTATTAACATATTCCTGTATCAGTTTATGATAAATATTGCCTTCCTTTTTCTTTTCCAATCATGTCAAATCCACTGCAGTTTCAGGTATGATCCAGGGAGGGATTGCTGCTAACGATACAGTTGGACTACATTTAATTTGATCTAATTTAAGTTATCTTAGTTTTTTTCCCCGCTATCCATCCAAATCTTCCTGTTTGTCTCCTTTTCCAACATGGCTGCAGTGTTTCTTCTGTAGGATGATCTGGACCATGACCCTGTAAACTAACCCAGTCATTTAGCGACAGGTGTCCTGATTTCCAGGCATTTCTCCAGTTTCAACCTGCAATGTTGTTTTAAATGCTCCTGTAATTAATCTTAAAGCTTGTGTCTGTATATACTCTAACCTTTTAAGTGATGTAATAGCTGCTGAATCATAAACCACACAACCAAAGTCTATTGCTGATCTTATTAATCCTGTATATATAGATTTTAAAGCGGTTCTGTCTGCTCCCCACTCATGACCGACTAAACATAACATTCAAAACTTTTTTGCACTAATCAATAATTTTCTGAATATGAAATGCCCATTTAATTCTATCATCAACAATAAACCAAGGAATTTAGAGTTTTTGACCCTTTCTATCTCTTGATTATATAATTTAACCTTCACCATACTATCATTTTTTTTTTAATAAAAAAAGTTTTCTATTTTCCCACTGAATGTTTGAATCCCCATTTATACGACCAATCTTCTATCTTATTAATAGCTTTTTGTAATTTTTTTTACCATTATCACCAGTATTCCAACCTCTCACCCAAATTGTCCCATCATCTGCAGAAAGAGAACACCCAAACCCATTTTCTATCTCTTTAAAAACATCATTAATCATTATAGAAAGAAGTAATGGACTTATTATGCTTCCTAGAGGTGTTCCGTTTTCAATAAAATATTTTGAAGAATAACTCTTTCCTATTCTAACCTGTATTTTCCTTTCACTTAAAAAATCTTTTAGCCACCTATATATTCTACTTTTAATATCCATCTTCAGCAGTTTGATCATCAGTCCTTCTCTCCACATCATATCGTACTCTAGAATGCAGCCACGACACTTTCTCTATTTATTTGTGCTTTTCTAATTTCGTGTTCTAGAAACAAAGATGGATCCATGGTATTTCATTGGTCATTGATCATTTTCTCCATTATTTTGTAAATATTTGAGGTTAAAGCAACAGGCCTGTCATTTCCTGGATTATCATTTCCTGGTTTACGTGTTGGTGTGATCACAGCTTCTTTCCAAACCTTTGGCACTTTTCCCTCCTCTAGTTATATAATTCCAACAAAATCTCCTTTGATGGTTCACTAAGTTGACTTATCATTATATCTGCTCTTTTTATGGAGCTGTCCTCTTTATTTTCTTTAGTGCACGATTTAGCTCCGCTTTTGTAAATGGTACATTGATTAATTTATTGTTCTCATCATCTTGACTTAATTTCTCTACCTTTAAATCTTTACTTTCTCTGCTATCGTCTCTTCTTCCTTCTTCGCTCAAATTTTCTGATCCATGAACTTTGACAAAAGTCTGAGCTAACATTTCTGCTTCTTTGCTGTAATTCCATTATCTATTAAAACGGGATAATGAAACTCTGTTTTCATTCTTTTAACCATTCCTCATATTTTATCTATTTTTGTTTCTCTTCCCACTGAATTATAAAACTTTCTCCAATATATCTTCTTTGCATTTTTTATTGTTTTCCTCACCATTGTCTGCTGCCTTTTATATTCGATAAGTTTTTGTATATTATGAGTTTTTTTTAGTACTTTAAATGCTTTATTTGGAGATTTCCTCACATTTCCACATACTTCTGTCGTCCATGGTACAATTTTATTTTTCTGTTTCCCTGCTTTCACATTAACTAATTGTTTAGCAGCTTCTAAAATGGCTTCACACACAGAATGATTCAGCCCCTCTATATCTGGATGAATATTAATTGTCTTTAAATGTCTTTCAATAATTATTCTAAATTTTCCCCAATCAGCAGTATTATTCCATCCATCCATCTATCTGCCTTCACGTTTTCACTCTCTTCCATATTCAATCCTACTTCTATCACTATAACATAATGATCGCTTCCTAATGTTTCATTTTCAACTTTCCATGTACATAAGCCAGCTATTGTTTCTGACACCAAAGTTAGATCAATAGCTGACTCCCTTCCACTCCTAATATTTATTTGTGTACCATTTCCATCATTTAAACATCATTTTTTATATTACTTCTCCATTGCTATCATTTTAACCTCCCCATAAAGTGCATTAAAATGTCCACAACATATAATCTTCCTCTTTACATTTTCTGTCAACTCCCTTAATAACTCTAAAGATTATTTTTTACATGGATTATAAAAATTAACTATCTTCACAGCCCCAATTTTACTCCAAACTTCAATAACAGTCACTTCCCAAAGTTCTCCTTTTTTCAAAGCTCTTTATAACATTTATTGTTTGACTAATATCACGCATCCCCGTCCTAGCCCATCCTCTCTATCCCTGCGTATACGTTTATATCCACTAATGACTAAATCTAACGTTGATTTCAGCCTAGTTTCTTGAATACATATAATTTCAGGTTTATTTTTTAGATTGTTAATATAGCCTTTAAACTCCTGCACATTTTCTATTAGACTCCTGGCATTGCAGAATAATCATGCAGCTCTTCCTTCACCACTTCCTGTTTCCCATCTGTCTCTTAATTTTTGTTCACCTGTTCCCATGTTAGTTCCTTCATGTCTAGCGGGGAAAAAACTAAGAGAACTTAAAATTTTCAGCTCCTTTTATTATTATTTTATTTTTTTCCTGTTTGACTTGGTCTGTACAGTTAATCACGTAGGCTGTAAACAGAACAAGTTTTTCATTTGTTATAATAGTTGTTGCTTTGGTTTGTTCTCTGATCTAATGTGTTGAATCACTTTTCTTGTTTCCTTCCCTGAGTTTTTTCCTTGCACTCTTTTCACTGATTCATCATAACTAATGTTACTCATCTTCACCTTCTAGAGCCTTCTTCCTGACTTCACAGCCTCCATGTGTCACTGAATGCTGACCTCCACAGTTGCAGCATTTCATCTGTTCATCCCCTTTACATTCTTCATACCTGTGCTCTCCTCCACACCTTGGACACCTTTGCTGGTGGAGGAACATATGGTCGAACTAAATAGCTCATACAGCCTATTTTAACTCTTTTTGGCAAAACTGTATTTTGGAGTTCCAGGAGCATATATATATATATATAAATCTATTTTTAATATAGGATATTCAAACTCTCTCTTTATTCCATTCATTCTTTTAATTATCTTCCAAACTTTTTCTATTTTTTTTCTTTCCCTATTGTGCTAAATAAATTCTCTTTTTGCATTCTTAAAATTTCTCCTTACCATCGCTTGCTTTCTTTTATAATCAACTAAATCTTATAAATTGGATTATCTTTTAGTACCTTAAATGCTTTATTTCTTAACTTTATTGTTCTTACATTCATTTGTCCACCATGGCGCCATTTTCTTATCATTTTCACTCCCTACTTTCTTTATAGAATTATCTGCTGCTTCCATGATTGTCTTACAAATGTTTAAATTCACATCATTTATATCCATCCTTATATCTACTTGTCCTAAGTTTATTTTACTGAAGTATCTACATTTAATCCAGTCTGCCTTATTGACTTATATATTCCTGTTATTTAAATATAATCCTACTCTTATTGTTATAGAATAATGATCACTACCTATTGTTGACTTTTATCAATGAACCATTCACATATACTAGCTAACACATTTGAAACAATTATTAAATCAATAACTGATTCCATCCCTGTCCTAACATTCATTCTTGTTCCCCTCCCATCATTAATATATACAAGATTTTTTTATTTCCAAAATCTCCACACCAAATTATTTTCCCTTCTAAATATTCAGTTAATTCTTCAAATCTTCAACTGATAATGTTTTGCATGGATTAAACCA